GAATATTTAAATAGTGGACACCGCAGCAGCAGAACAAAAGTAAAAATAAATTCCAGGGCTAAAAGTGGGATAAGGACTAGCAACCAAGATGATCGGCTCTTCGCTGTTCTAAAAAGTAGACCAAATGGTTATTGACATGATGTTCTTGAGATATTTTCAAGATGTCTACAGCCTTGGACGGTCCAAAAACGAGTCTTCGAGTATTGGAAGTGTTTTGGTCAAAGTTTTACCCAATGTATATATGGCTTTTTTTTTAAGTATTTGACGCAAACCAAACCATAGAATAATAAAAGGAACTCGGAAAACTGCTTTAGTGTAAAAAAAAAAATTTTAAATTCCTCGCCTTCCTTGTCTATGAGTTTCAAAACAAAAAAAAAAAAACATTTGAAGTGAAGTTCGGAAATCTTATGTGAGAATTCTCCCAAGAGTGACAACTACAACAATGGAAAGAGCAAAGACTATATTCAAAATGGACGGAATATACGCAGCGTAAAGTTATCAAAAGCTTGGGCCATCCATACCAGCATCCGTTCATTACTCTGCTTACATGTTACAACGGGCCCGATTGAAAATCATTATACAGAACTCTGATAGATCGCTTATATATTCTTAACGGTGACTCAAATTTGAAAAGCAGTCGAAGGTGTTATTACCATAACCACAATAAACAATCGTATCATGTTTCTATGCAAATTTCATAACAAATATTGAAAATGATTCAAGACATTGACCAAGATCACTGAAAACATCAAACCATTTAGCGGGATCACCGAAAATCTATAAACTAAAAGCTACAGAAAGGTTTGGCGCCAAATATCCCGCAGATACACCTAAAAATAGTTCCGATCAAGTGATTGGCACGTCTGCAGTTCAGATAGTATCTTGCAATTTTTTTACATAAGTTTCAGGTAATGGGTATAAACAATTCACCCAAGGCAGTTCTATGATGTTCCAAGAATTTTTATTTTAAATTCTTGACTTTTTCAGTTTAAAACAACACACACATAAACCGAAAGCATTCATTATAAACTGAATTGACAGTAAAAGGCTTAATAAAATGAGTGTTTCACACGCTATCTGTCAGCCCAAAACAAACGTCCTTACCATCAATTTCAGTCAACATGACGATCACGTAATTGATTCAGAGACTCGTTCGACTATTTTTCATAGGTTTTTCGAAATTCATGTAGCGAGGACTTGTAATACTTAGGCAGATAAAAATGAAGCCCTTCGCTTGGAGTCGTTCAAAATATTCGATATCTTACTCATTCGTTCCAAATTTATTTAACTGGTCACCTTAATATATATATATATATATATATATATATAATATTGTAAATTACATATATAGTCCTAGTAAATATTTAAAATGTTCGTCTGTATATGTTATTGCGAATGAATAAATATGTCATGATCCTGGATTGTTATGTGCGTGTGTGTACTCTTTTATGAAGGCGTGTGCTATAGAAATGAATGAGAAGCAAACGTTTATGTATATGACTTTGACATGGCAAAACATTGAATGACAGCAAAAAAAAAAAAAAAAAAAAAATCAGTAGATAATTACATAGAAAGGCAGGCAGAGAGTTGTTAAAGAATATCTTACCCCTTTATAAAGACTAATGAGATCAAATTTTCTTAAGGAATTTCGAAAGAACAATATCCGAACGATGATAGATTATCTTGAAGCTCCTTATTCTTCTTCTTCTTCTTCTTCTTTACAATATTAAAATACTAACTTTTCCTAATCCTTTCAACGCACAACGCACATTTGCAAATTAAACCATTTCACCTAAGGTGAGAGACTCACTCAGCTAAACTATTTAACGATTGCAAAACTTAAGTAAGACATTAGTGTGAATTGTTTTCTACAATATGATAACACACACACACACACTATATAACACATAACTTATTTGTAATACAAATAAATGTTCTTACAAACACGCACGGAACTCATATTGCTTATGGAACTACTACTACGCGGGCACAAGTGTTTGTTTCGTTGTCAATGTTAAATTTCATGTACCCAGTCAGAACTTGTTTTAACTAAAAAACAACATATGACACATTCTGCAATCTATATTTGTGCCATTGTTATTGTTATTGTTGTTGCTATTATTATTGTTGTTGTTGTTGCTGTTATTTGCGTTGCTGTTTTGCATGTAAAATTATCAAGTTTAGTAACAGACAATATGCTGTATTCTGTTTTGCTTAATAGCAGTCGTAGCAACATACGCGATACAAATACAATAATAGCATGCTATTCTTCTTCCCCCCCCCCAAAAAAAAAAAAACAAAATATCCTGGCGCTTGCGACGGCAAATCATTATCACCGTCATTGTCATCAAGCGCTATAGTCATCAAGAACATCAACAGCGAGAGCAGCAGGCAATAATAACGCTATTTCTTCTTCATTGCTTCCGTTAATCTGTAATTTGTGTGCGTACACGATTCTTGCTGGTGACGGCGATGTGGGAGTGCTGGCAATTGTATATGGTATATTTACATACACGCATAGCTTGTATTTAAATTGTATGAAACGAAAATTACAATTTGCAAATAATTGGATTTATGCGAGAGAAATGCGTCACCCCTTGAATACATTTTTCTCTTTCTTTTTTTTTTGTTTTTTTTTCGTTTGTAATTTTTTATTTGATTCATATCTTCTTTATGCTTTAGGTGTAAGTAAAGCAAATAAACTTTTAACTCTAGAAAGAGGTTTTACGTACATACTACTACTACTACGTTCATGCTATTTGAATAGTCAAACAAACACACATATATAACTAAAATTTTCAAATATACAAGCATTTTATGTAAATTAGGCAAATATAAGGTAAGTGGAGAGCATAATTAAATTTTTTTTCTTTTGCTAGACTAAGGTTTTTGCATGAAAAGCTGCCAATCACTACGTAAAGATAGCAATGGTCTTTAATAAAGTTTATAAACTATGTTTGTGCTTGGGTTAATAAGTGCCCACACAAATTTCCTGCATTTGTGGAGTCAATATGAGTTTTTATACCCATCACCGAACGATGAGCCCCGGGTGCAACGCCCGGAGTATAGCATTAGAGACAAAGTCTAAATCGATTTAAGCATGTCCATGTATCTGTCTGTACGTGTGTCCGTCTGTCCATATGTCCGTCTGTGTGGCGGTGTAATGTATATTATAAACACAAAGTATATACATTGTTGATCACTATCAAAGTCAAAATCGATTTAACCATGTCCGTGTGTCTGTCTGTACGTGTGTCCGTCTGCCCATGTGTCCGTCTGTGTGGCGGTGTAATGTATATTATAAACACAAAGTATATACATTGTTGATCACTATCAAAGTCTAAATCGATTTAACCATGTCCGTGTGTCTGTCTGT